GTGAATGACAAAATGGGGAAGAGTCCTGAATAATACCCAGCTGTTAGGTTCTAACCAGCCCTGCAGTAAATTTAAATAAGCCCTCTTAGGTGGATCATATACTTATTTCATGTTGGTTAATTTCTAAGAGAAATATTCAAGGAAATCTTAGCTAGAATTATATATAACAGGCCGGTGGTGCCCATTCATCCTTATTTTACCCTCTCCATACTCAGCATTCGGAAGAAAGGATCAGCAATCTACTTCCGTAGTGATACCACCTCAGAAACCCAAGGAGGGGTCACTATGAGTCGGATCCAACTCTACAGCAGTGAGTTTTATGCTGAGCACATGGAGCCCTGGTGGCACAGTGCTTGGGCTGCTAACCTACCTAAAGGTCTGTGACCTGAACCCACCAGCTGCTCTCTGGGAGAAAGATGTGGCAGGCTGCTTCTGTAAATGTTACAGCCTTGAAATCCTACAGGGGCAGTTCTGTCCTATATGGATGTTATGAGTCAGAATTGACACGACAATGAGTTTGGTTTCTGCTACAGTCAGCATTTACTTCTACCATGTAATGCTTATCTGTTAACACCTTCTCCTTAAAGAGTGTATGTATGTCACATTTCTGAAGCCACAAGCCAACCATAGTACTTGACAAAGTACGGGTCCAAGTACTTGCTGGATAATACAATATATGGCAACATGATGAAACCTGTCACTATTAGACATTTACATGTGAAAAAGCTTTCATCAGTTTGGACAAAGGTAAATTTGAGTTCAGCTCCTATTTATATGCCAATTCTCCAAAGTATGTCGCACAATAGAAAGCCTTTAAAAGTGTGTTCAAATTCACTTCTTAGAGCAAAAAAAAATAACATTCTAAGTACATTATGTTGTTAAGTGCCGTCGAGTCGTTTCCAACTCATAGCGACCCCATGCACAGCAGAACGAAACACTGCCCGATCCTGCGCCAGTCCCACAATCCCTGCTATACCTGCTATACTATCATTGCAGCCACCGTGTCAATCCATGTCGTTGAAGGCCTCCCCCTCTTTCATTGACCCTCCATTCTACCAAGCATGACATCCTTCTCCAGGGAATGGTCCCTTCTGACAACATGACCAAAATAGGTGAGATGAAGTCTGGCCATTCTTGCTTCCAAGG